AGCTAGTTGCAGCAGCAACCAAACTTGGACATTCTATTAAATTAATCGTCAATTATCAATGGGCAACTGGGAGCGAGCGTCTATAAATTGAATGTGCGGTTGCCAGTGCCTCCACACAACCAGCACGTAGTCGTAGCTATCGGCTAAATCAATTTAACTGCATGTCTAATTAAGCCACAATTGCCAAACTACAAGCAATCGAATTTCTCAAACTGTATGTCGAGTGCTGCCAAAAAACTTTGCATGCAATTTGCACGAACGCCTCCTTGAATGTTGCCAATGTGTTTAATTAAATAGCAAGCGTAATTAAATTGCAATTAAATTAATTAAAAAGCACGCAGCCGATTGCCGTTAGCTCAGCTGAAGAGGGTTGCTTCGACGTTTAGTTTAGGGTCTCTCGGTCTCTCTCTCTCTCTCTCTCTCTCTCTCTGTCTCTCTATGTCCCTCGCCCACTCGCGATGGGGCGAGTCAAAAGAAAAACAAAACGTGTATCCGCCCCGTTGGACTAGGGCCACAAAGGACATGAACGTGAACGTGAACGTGAACCAGCCTGAAAGCAAACCCGAAAAGCGAACATGGCTCACTTTTTCACTGCTCTTTGTGTACAATTAGACTTTAATTTTTTATGAGCAATGAATGCTTTCGCAGTTTTACATTTTGCTGTTAAATGCTTGATTAACTTTCATGGCGCTGGTCCTGGCCAGTGTTCGAGGCCATGCACACTTAATGGCCAGCTTTGATGTCGCATACTGGGTGGTGCTTATTGCTTATGTTGTAATTGCCGCAGTGATAATAGGCCAGTTGCAATATTTACCAACATGCGGGCCAAAAGAATGTGTGCCTTAATGTGTACATAATAAATACATAAAAGAGAAATTGGCCAACAAGTTTTTTGGCAGAAATTATGCTTGTATAATTAAGTTCCCTTAACATCTGCAAAAGGGCAAATGAGTAAATATAAAGTCAAAGTCTGTCATTAAATAAAGTTGAGTCATTTGTAATAAGAATTTAGGAAAAGGAAAAAAAAAGGATAATTTATGAAGCGCATATTCTTTATACTGTGTAAATTGCCAGCAAATCGCCAATTATTGTAAATAATTAAAATCATTGACTTGGCAAAGTAATCGTCTTCTGCTTGCACAAATATGATATTAAAAGATGCCCTCGGCTAAAGCTAATTTGTGAGCGCAGGAACAACAATAATAAAGCCACATTACACGTAGCCAACGTGAGCAAATTGAATTGCGGCAATTACTTGCCACGATACGCAGAAAATGCTCAAAACGAACAAACGAACGACGAAGAAGATGAAGAACAAGATGATGATGTGGAAGAAGTACGAGTGAGGAGCATAAGATGTTTGCCGACATTGTGGGCAGGCGGACTGAAATCAAAATGGAAAATGCACAAAAGTCAAGTTCATAAAAATGAAATCATGCCACAGCTCAGGCAGAAGATCAAAGAGGACAAATCAATAAAGCCCAAGCGCAGAAATAACTTAAACTCAGCCGAAGTCAGGCGAACCGAAGGCAACAGCTAAAGTCCAGCCGAGTCGAGTCCAGTTGAGTTGAGCTGACTTGAGTTGAGCTGCGTTGCGTTGAGTTGAGGGCAATCTAGGCACAGTTCGACCCCAAAAACAACTTGACCTGGTCAAGGCTGCAAGCACATAAAATAAAATTATACAACAAATCAGAGAAAGAGAGAGAGAGAGAACACACAGAGAATTAAGGCAAAGAAAGAAAGAAAAAATAAATAAAACTACTAAAGCAAACTGTCTTTTGATCTATGGCAGAGGCAATGCGATGCCACTGCTGCTGCTGATGACTATGATGAGATGATGATGATGATGATTATAATGATGATTGGGCTCAATATGGAGCAGATTCTAGAGTCGAGAGTCCAGAGTCAAGAGCCGCTATGGCCGAGAGTAAATTGGCATAAGAAATCAGAAATCACAGAAGGTTGCTGTCCACGTTTCAAGTCGCAAGCGCACTCTGAGATAAATGGCATCGCCAGACTGGACGATGGCCAACAAACACACACAAACTACACAGCCAGAAAAAAACAAAACAAAATAAGTCTTACTAGAATCAATTTTCAAATTCTAGAAATTAATCAAAACATTTATAGCTCTTAATAATAAATTAAAAAAAGATAATTATCGACTTAAAGATTGTACCTAAAGCGAGTAGTTAATAAGCCAACAATCAAAAGACAACATATTTCGATTATTTGGATTCCTTTTCGCTTTTCTTTATATAAAATCTACCCCCAGGGTGACAATTATGAAATTATGCAACAATCTATTAATAGTATTCATTTATAATTCTGATTGAGATTGAGATCTGGAATCAGCAGAAATTTTTGAACAATAATTAACATATATGGTAACTCATTGCTGTTGATTGGTTATATAGGATTTCTACAGGCAAGCTCCAGCATCACAAGTCTATTCTATGATACAGTTGCAAAGTGTATCATACGCATTTATCGATTTTTCTTTCGGTGTACGCATACTACACACAATCGCACAGTGCACAGACCATTGCAATATTAAGTAAATATACAAAACGTTGTCGGCGCGGCGCACAAAACTAATGATGTCGATGCTGCTGCTGCTGCTGCTGCTGGTCAGAGTCGGAGTCCGAGTCCCAGTCGTAGTCGAAGGATGCTGTGGCTGCCACAGACGAGGCTGGGGCTAAGGTTGAGGCTGATAATGATGCGGCAGCAAAAGTTTAGGACGTTGTCTGTTTGGCTGACTGGCACTGGCGATATACACACGCCAGGTAATAAATTTCATTTCTCAGCTGATATGGGCAATTAAGGAACAATTTTGCAGCTGAATGAGTAATAAATAAAAATTGTATGCCAGAGCGATACGCAGATACAAAACTGCAAGAAGTCGTCAGGCAGCCAAGATAGTTTTCGGATAAAAATACACAAAACGAGCGAACGAACGAACGAGCGAGCGAGCAAGCGAATGAATGAATGAATGAATGAGGCATCGAGTTGGCAACTTGAGACTTGTGCTACAGTCTCGAACTCATCAGCAACCAAAACTTGTTGCATTGAAGAACTGAGCAAGTGAGCAACTGAACAACTGAACAACTGAACAGTTGGCCAGAACTGAGAAGCTGCATGCTTGCCCTTTTGATGAAAACAACTCAATGACGTGATTTGTGCGGCATCGCATCGCATCGCCGCCAACGAAGTCGAAGTTGAAGTTGAAGTCGAAACATTATTGGGGCAGGATGTTGTATAAGATTCCTGTCTCATATATAAATCACATTTTGCAACAGATTGACGTGCAAATTCCATGAGAGTTTGCTCAACACAGTGTGCAGAGTTATGCTGGATATTTATATTTGGCTGTCAGGCGGCGGGTCAGTTTATAATTTGAGCTCTTTGCATAATAAATCACATTGGGCTTAAAGTCACTTTGGGGACGCCTTCTTAAGCGGCTGAATCACTCAGCCGTCAGCGGATAGGATTCGCATCAACTGTGTCCGCATTTTTAATTTTGTTGTAGTTTTATTTTGCAACTTGTCTGCTGTTTGGGCATTACTTTAATTACACAAAGCTAAAAGGCAGAGACACAGTAACTGGCAGAGTCAGAGACAGAGGAAAAGGCATTTTTTAAATGCTGCCGAAAAACGTTTCAAGAGCTTTGGCTCCACAATTGCTGGCCAAAAACAAACGAAGCGACGCGTCGGTGCCTTTTGGTACATATAATGGCACATGATATGTCCTCTACCTGAGAGTCCCACAAAGGCTACAAGCCCGCCCCAGCAACAGTAAAACAATGGAGCTACATCATGACACTCGAGACGGCACCAAAGCACCAAAAGCTGCATACAAAAGCCGTCCGTTCGGCAGGGCCACAAACATGTTGGCCGGCAATGAGCGACCGCCGGCAAGCAGCAAGCATAGGGGGCTGCCGTTTAAATGTGCTCCATTTTACTGTCAAGTGTGCAGAAACCGGGGTTGACATTTGAAAACGGTGCCATGCAATTCAGCAGCAGCAGCAGCAGCACCAGCAGCAGTAACTGCACTACGATCTAACTCTCTTCGTTTAAAAAGAAGAGTTTGAGTTTGATCGAATATTGCAGAATATTCTTTCAGAAATTCTAACTGCATAGAAGTATAATAATAACAATAGAATAATTCAATGAATTAAAGTTCGATTAAGTAGTAACTTAATATTCATTTTGAAAAAGAAAACAGAAGACTCGATAATTTGAAATAAAATATAACGCGATTTTGAAGTGTTAAGCGAAGCAAAGTATGAATCTTTTGTGGTGACTAGAGTATTTCTTAGTCGTACATATTTGATTAGAGCACTCTGGTCTCTTTCTCATTTACTATTTGCCGTCGCCTGTGTCGCCCACTTGGCTTGTCGGAGAATTTTAATTTAAGTATGTAAACTGACATTGAATGGTTTTCGACCCCTTCTTTTTCATCGGTCTACCTTTTGTTGTGGGTGGCTAGAAACTGAATTCGGATAAACTAAAACTAAAACTCAACTGAACTAAACTAAACTAAACTGAACTGAATAGAACAGAATAGAATAGTTGAGGGGGCACCTGAGCGCAATTTAAAACAATTTTAAGTTTTTCCCATTTTTGGTTGCAATTGGATTCTGTATTATAAAAAGCTCAGCTCAAGCTGCCAGGAAAATGGAGTTTGAATAGGTTTTCCTGCCAAAGGGGGCCGGGCCTGTGCGGGGCAACATTTAATGAAAACTGAGCATTGTACGACGACAAGTCGAGAGTGTGAGCTTGTTAGCTTGATGAGGACTAGGCGCTGTCTGACAGCCCATGTCTAATCAATGCAGTTGACAGCTTGGTGGGCTCGACGGGTGGTGGCACCACACCACACCACACCACAACAACAGGAGCACCACCACAGCAACGACAACAACCAGCTCTAATCAACAGGCCGACTGGCTGGTAGGCAGTTAAGCCCCCAATGCCCATTTTAAATTGGTATTCAGTACTCACCGGTGTTGAATATGGATGCGCTGTCAGACGCACTCCGTCCGTCTCCAGCTGTTCGGCCAGCACCATTTCCAGTTCATTGCTGGGCGGTGTCTCGCACAGGATCTCCATGCTGCCCGACAACGAGTTCGGATCGTTTAACATGAAGTACACAGAGGCAGCACCCTTCTCGCGCAGCGAACGTATACTCTTCAGCAGCTTATGCCGATGGGCCGGATTGTCAACGCCAATGGCATCCAAATCGGGATCACCGACTTGCTTGCATATCTCCAAGTCATCGTAGCCATTGTCCAGAAAACTTTCCGCATACTGTGCCAGACCAAGGGCGCGCAGCCACTCGCAAACAATGTTGCTAACGGCCATTTTGCCACCTTCGTTGACAAAGAGTGCACTCTCAAGTTGAAGAACTTTAAACTCTGGGTGTACAGTGAACAGTGTTCTGTGAATGCTGACGTGTGTGCCACCAATTACCGTTGCAAAATGAGCGTCTATTAGCGTGGCGTCGCGTCACGTGCTAAGCTATTATTGTTGTTGCTGCTCTTAGTTGTTGGCAATTTCCTTTTGCCCGTTTTTTTTTAAACACTGTTTGCGTATTGTTTTAAATGTGAACTCGTTAAAATTCAATGCCTCGTGCCACACACACATTAAAGTTGATTTCACATTTTTGCACTTTCACATGCCCCGTCTTGCTATTTGTATGTCCTGCAATCGTTGCTGCTGCTGCTGTTGTTGTTGCTGCGGCTCCTTCTGCTGCTGCTGTTGCTGTTGCCGCCGCTGCCGTTTGCATTGTGTTTGGTGTTGGCCTGCTGCTGCAAATATAGAAGGAAAAGTCAAGATGTTTAGTATTGTTGGTGTGTTAATGAAAACGATAGAATTGCATAAATTTCAATTAAATGTGCCCGCATAGTTGACTTGAAGCGATTTCCCACAAGTTTCTTGGCATAGGGCATGCACTTGCCCCTGCCCCTCTTGGCACAAATCAATAGCTGCTGTTCAGATTCAAATCAAATTCAGAATTCTACAAAATTAATTAAACCGATGGCAGCTGATGTGGTTTCCATTTGCCACAAACACACACAAATCTCATGTTCTCACAACGCCTTATCAGTCATTCAGGCAGCAAAACAGGGCACACCACAGCGAATAATGCGTGCCACACACACACACATACACACACACACATGCACACACTGTATATCACTTTATCATAGACACAGTGACGTCTCCCATGTGGGCCGCATTTCTCTCCCCCATTCTGCCCAACGGCAACTGTGCGCTTTAGAGAATCTATGAGGCGTTAAACGCAAACTAAAAGCTTAGAGCAACCAATCAACAGCAGTAGCAACAACAACAACAAGAAGAAGAACAACAACAACAATATCTACATCGAGTGCAGTTTTGGGCGTGTGCCGTCGCTTATTGATAAATGATTGATTATCAGCGTGTGGGTGCGCTGCGGTTTTCTTTGCTTAGCACAAGAGTTTAGTGTTTGCTTTTAGTTTATCTTTAATGGATTATTTTAGCGGTTGGCAGCGAGGCTAAAATAACAAAAATCATTGCCATAATCCACGTTGTCTTGCCACGCCACGTCACGCAGCGCCCTGCCACGCCCCACATTGCAAAGGGAGTCATCATATAAGTAATTTATATGTGTATGTGCCGCTGTTCCTGCCTCTGTGATTAAGCTGCACCCTCTCCCTCTCACTCTCTCACTCTCTCTCTCTCTCTCTCTCTCTCTCTCTTTGTTCTTTGTCTGGCAGCTGTTTTATTTCCATTTTCCTTGGCATTGAATAGATCAATCATGGCAGGTCGACATGCCGTACAAATTGTTTAGTGATACGCAATTATTCACCAATAAAACTGTCGACCAAATGTCAAGAGTTGAGCTTTTGTATACAAAATTCAACTCAAGTCTAAATGTACGTTCATTTTGCTTAAATATTCTCAATTATTATAAACAACTCTGCTAGCATAATATTTAAAGCGAAATCTTTATTATGAATTGCTCTAAGTGGCTTTTCTTCAAAATAATAATTCTCTACGTTCCATTTGTGAATTGCATTAAAGAGCAAAAACAGTAATAATCCTTTTCCAGTTGCATGAAAATAAATAAAATATATCAAAAGTGAAAACAGATTAAATAACAAAATTCATCCACAAGAAAACCGACGTTAAATTTTGTAGCTATAAGAAAAATAATAGAAACCAATTAATTGTTGAACAAACTGCAATTGAAGTTCAACATATCGCGCATTCTTTGTATTGTTCATTTAGAAAAACACCCATATTATAACCGTAATCATTATTTTGGGCGCGCCCCTTGTAAATGCTTAAATTGTATGGCAACAAAATGCCACAAAATTGTGGCGCTGTCAGCGCTAACAACAGCATGAAGCACCTCAGTGCACAGGGCCCCAAAAATAAATAAAAACCCTTTCACTTCCGACCTATTACCTATGCATTTTATTTTTTTTGGGTCAAAGTTTGTTAGAGTTAGCTTGATTGTTGCTGTTGCTTTGGTCGTCTTCCACCAAAAATTCAACGCCAACGCAGAACAGCTTAGCGCAGCAGGGGCAACAAATTTAATGCAACATCATCGACAGCGACCGCAAAACAGGCAACAACAATAAATTGTTGACTTGTTGCAGTTGTTTGCTTCATTCACAATGCCTTCAAAATACGTTTTCGTGGGCGTCGTCCCAACGCATTATGTTTCCAGTCGACTCTATATACAAATGTATTTTGTTATTATTGTTGTTGTTGCCGTATTGTGGCAAGTTTAATTTGTTTATAGCACGTCCGTTTGTTTTAAACGGTGTCATTTGAGCAATTCAAAGAGATTAAAGAAGAAAAAAAATAACAACAACAGCGAACCCTACGCTGATCGTGTTGACTTTTGGCCTCCGAGCAAGAAACAATTGTGAGAGGTGGACAGGCGAGACCAAATCAAATTGAGCGTCAATAAAACGGGTAAGCAAATTCGAGATGTTGTTGCTGTTGCTGTAGCGGTTGGTGTTGCTGTTATAGGTAACGATTATTGCAACACGTTGCGGTGCGGCCAACAGCTGTCACCTGGCACTTTTGGTACGCTTTATCGGAAATCTGCACGCCGTATGCACACGCGGCGTATGCGCGATTGCCATTTAATTAAAATTGTTTGCACAGCTTCGCCAATTGCTTGGCTACATTGATTTTTTCTTCATTTTTTTATGCCTCATTTTTTCTTGCCTGCCTGCTTTTTATTATTTAATTTTTTTGTGCAGGTGCGCAACGGAAACAGCAACAACAAAAATATTCACACGCTATGGGCCGCTGGCTAATTAATATGCATAACTCGAGCTCAACGCACTTGAGCATTTAATTATTGTCATTAGCTGAGCAAACACAAAACCGGAGAAGAGCAATTTTCGAAGCGTTTCGTTTTTGTTGTTTTTGTTTTCCTTTTTTTTTTTGCGCCATAGGAAGCGGGCCAACTGGGGCAGTAATAAACATTAAATAAACAAATCAAATTAAAAAGTATAAAAAAAAGTCAAGAACAAGGCGTCTTCATTAATGATAGGAAGTAGGAGGAAGGAGAGAGACAGACAGGAGGCAGTCACAGCCAAATAAAAGTCAAATACACTTGACAAAAGCAGCATTTTTTGGATTCAGCCAACTGTTCGGGGCGCCTTGGTCGCATTAATACCAATGGCTAATTAACTTGTTGTCGAGCTCGTAAAATAGTTTGGCCGCTCATCAAGATAATAAAGGCCAACGAATAAGTTTTGTTTGCTTTGTTTTTATCCACTGTTCGCTGTTGGTTTTTCGGCCGCCTTTAATTGCGTCTAAAAAAAAAACAATACAAAAGCGGGTACGTAAGTAACTGAACGACGTCAGCTGCAAGTCGAGCAGGTCACATATCGCGAGCGACTACTGTCTGAGCAGCGGACCCCGGGGGAGATGGTGGAAACGTTGAAATTGCTGAATTCATTGGGCAGGCTAGACGGTCAGACAGACTAAACGCCACTGCAGTCACTTTTGGTAATTAGATTTTCGAATACAGATAATGAACGGACACATTAAAATTTTAAAACCGCCAACTGATTGTGGCACACAAAAAATTGAAAGTATTTAATAAATTAACTTGAAAGCCAACTTAAATGTCAAGCCAGTCTTCTAAGGGGCGGCCTTCTCAGTGTTTCGGCCATTTTGACAGCACATAATAATAATGAATGTGCCAGTATTTGTATTGGGCTCACTTTAATTAAAACCACAATTGTGCAATAAATTAAAAGCCATTTTCCGTCTACAAATGTAGTTGGTAGACTCTCTAGGCAAATTGTCAGCAACACGACTATTTCTCAGCAATTTGATCATTCGCCAATAATTGCACTTGATGTTAACTGCCATTGGGCCAACAAATGTCAACAGGCAAAATGCTTAATGCCATAAGTTGTCGAATTCCATTTGCATTAAACTATTTGGTCAATTTGGCCTCTGCATAATCAGAAATGTGATTTATTAGGCAATCTGTTCACATATAACATTCGTAGCCCTTAAGCGCGCAATTAAACCAAATGTTTATAAGCCGTATTCACATATCGCTTAATATGGTCATTAATAATAGCTTAATTATAAATTGTAATATGGGAAATAAGTAATCTATATTGAAATGAGTTGAAGAATCGCTTATTTTATTTTAATTTGTAATATCCGCTTTTTTGCTGTACACAATAATAATATGTGTAATCTGACGGAAATGATTCGCTTACAAAAGATGAATGTAGAATTTTAAATCTAATGCGTAACTGGTTTTTTATTTACAACATCATTTTTAATCAATTTTCACATTATAATTTTTATTTCGCCATTAATAGTACAAAAAAAAAAAAAAACATTTATGTTGCGTTCATATTTTTCAATATATTGAATTATATCAATCAGCCATTAATGCCGTACAAAGTGAACCAGAAATTTATACAAATTTTACGAGCAATTGAAACTAATTGAAGTCACGCCCAAATCCAATTGATTGATGTTGTTGCCTTAGTTATAGTTTAATTAGAATACATCTGCATGGGCAGCTAAAAAGTGTTTTATGTATATATTTTTTGGGTGTGCACTCAAAAACCGAACCCAAAGTGTTGCAATTTTGAACGCCTTCCCAGCGATGGAGCTGAGATCTGCCAAAGCAAAAGTTTCATGCTGCGCACACACTGACGACCTTTTGGCATTCACAAACACACATACAAACATACATATATGTGCATATGTGTGTATGAATAGTGTACATGAATATTGGCAAGGCCTGGAGCTGTGCAAAAGTCAAGTCAAAAATTTATAAATTTATATCATTTATTTTTTCTTATTTTTGTCGTTCGTTTTCTTTTTCTCTTGTCTTTTTTTTATTTATTTTTTTTTTTGTTTAGCTTTTTGTTTTGTTTTTGTCTGCTGGCTAAGAGCAGCGGGTGGTCAGAGAGCGCAGGTGGCTTCAGAGTTGTCTTGGTGCTTTAAGCGTGTTTTCTGCTTAATGTTTAATGCCCGATAATTTAACATTTGTGTTGTTGTATTTTCTACAATTTGTTATGCAAACAAACGGGGCCACAGTTTACTTAACAGCCGCTTATAAATCATCATCATCAACAGGAACAACAGCCACAATAAAAACAACAACACCAACAACACCAACAACAACTACAACATTCGAAACGAACGCACAGCGAACCCATCGATAATATCGCCATTGTTTAAACAATGAAAAATGTGCGATATGCCCCCATAATATTTATTTGGCAGCCTACAGTAACTACACATCATCATCATCATCACC